GTTTAGGCTAGAGATGAATTCTAAGAATAAAAAGTATTGTTTTAACAATGTTGAGTGTATGAGTAGAATGAGAAATAAGACAGCAACACTTCCCAGGACATATGATGGGAATGGACAATAGTTCATTCACGCCTTTGTTTCCTTTTTCTATTCCAAGAAAAATGATCTTTAAACATTAAAATGTAGAAAAAAAAGAGGGTTAAGAGGGAATTGAGACCAATGATGTGAAGTGATAATGTTTTAATAATGATAACAATTTATTAATCATTCTAAGTAGCAATACTAGTTTATTATTGCCTTACTCATCATTGGACTCAACTCCTCATCATTCATTTGTTTTTCTTTTGGCACTTAATAAATTATTTTTTGACTGACATTGCCCTTCACAACACTGCACTTATATGTTCTCAAAGAATTCAAGTTTCCAGGTCTGAATGAAATATATCTTAAAATACTCAAGGAACTAACAAATGTGATTGCCAAGCCACTGTTAGTGATCTCTTAAAATGAAGAATGGTAAAAGCCCCAAAGGATGGGAGAGGGCAAATGTACCAATTTTGTTAAAAAAAGAAAGAAAGAAAGAATGGAAAGAAGGAAGGAAGAAAGAAAATGGAGTATGCAAACTATAGGCCAAAGAGTGCAACGTTTTATTCCTGGTAAAATCCTAGAGCACAATGAAAATTCTAGATTAAAAATCCTAGGTAAAATCCTAGACCTCTGAGGTCCCTTCTAATGATTCTGTTAAGGAAGTGTGATTTGTGAGCATTTGAACAGGAAAACAGTGATAACTAAAAGCCAGGCTGTCTTCATCAAGAACAGGTCATGCCAGATTAACCTCATTTCCTCCTCTTTTTTTTTTTTGACAGGGTAGTTAGGCTAATGATAAGCATTAATGCTGTAGTCATAGTATACTTAGATTTCAGCACAGAATTTTTTTTGGGTGGTGGGAGCAGTGGGGAAGACTGTCTGATCCAGTCAATGACTCAGAAATAGACTTTCCAAGTGAAAAAGATTGTAGGCACCATTTCCCAATAACCATTTCAAATAATGAAAGAAGATATTTGCGCAGAGGCAATGCCTTTTCTTCCTTGTGTTTCAGCCAAAGAGAGTCCTAGGACATATACACACCACACCGTGTAATAACCCTACTAGCCTCTCTGGGCCTTCTACAAGTTCAGATTTAGGAAGGCATCACTATAGTTCTGATAAAAATTATGATCGTCTCATATAGTTGAGAAGCACAAGTGTAGGGACAGATGAGTTAGTGGTTCATAGAAGAGCCAGCATTGTTCAGCCAATGACCAGACTAAATTATGATTTCCCCTGTAAAACTAGAAATATGTAAGAATTTGGTGTTTCCCTTATTAGAATGCATTCTTCTGGAAAGTAGGGATTGCTTTGTACTTTAAATTTGTATCCCCGGAGGCTATCACAATATCCGAAACAGAGTAGAAGCTTTTTAAATGCTTATTGATTGATTAATAATTGATATGATTAGCCTGAGCAGAAAGATTTCTGTTGTGAGCAAGGTAACAAGAGTTGTAAATAGATCAGAGTGACCAGGGCTTTATTTCTGTGTGCCAGTATCCAAGGGGCACATTTCTCCCTCAAGGCTACACCCAGACTGTTGGCCCTGCATCATTTAGCAAAAACTCCCCACCCAATTCCTTCCTCACTGTCTACTGATACCCTCCTACCCCCTTCAACTAATATGAATAGTATTAGGATTCATTGACTGTGCTAAAATAAGGGCAGGTGGGGAGTGGAAGGCAGTCTGCAGTCAAATTCTTTGAGAGATGGGACAACTCTACAACCCTTGGGCCTGTCAACACCTGACCCTGGGTGGACTGTCCTCTGAATGCCCCAGGAAGGACTGAATTTGCCCCAAGTTCCAGAATTCCTAGTTATGATTTTGTAAGATAACACCTTCTTCATTTAAAACTGACTTGTCTTTTGAAACAACTTGAGGTGGCGGGGGCAGGTCATATCAGCTGGTTCTTAGATCTCAAATGAAGTGTGGATGTGTACAATGTAATATTGCCTCCATCCCTCAGGGGTGTGTGCTGAGGAACAAGCTTTAACAAAGAGGTAACACCATTATACAGTTAGCCTTCTGCATTGGGGTGCAAGGTCATACTAACCCACCCCATGCCCATTCAGTTCCATCCAAGTTTGGAAACGGTATGCAGAGCTTTAAGATACACAGATCTTAGTTCTCCTGGGGCAGGGTGGTAGAGAACAGCATTGATATTCCCTTTCTCTTCTCATTCTTTTCTCCTGATGTACAGAACATAATTTAATTTAAGAGACACGAGTCAAAAGCAAAAGATGAGTTTTAGTCAACTCCACTTGTGACATACTACATAATTTAAACCCTCTATACCTTGGATATTCTAACCGGAAATTAGAAATAGTAGCTTTCCTTCCCTATTTCATAGGGATGATGTTTATATTAAGAAGGATTGGTAGAAAGCTGGGGATATAGTTGAGGGGAACTCTAGGAAGAAATTTTATCCTTATGTTATAAAAAAAATCATATTAAGTGCATTTTATATACTAGACATGATACCAAAAAAAAAAAAATCCCAACCACACACATAATCCCTGTCCTCAAGAATCTTATAATCTACAGCAGGCATTATTAGCCTGTGTCTGTTAACCTGCTTTAAAAATATTTTTATAATTAAAATTCAAATTCTCCTTTGTAATCTTTTGTATTTTATTTTATGCATTTAAAAAACGTTATTGTGAGAAGTCTGGCTTCACCAGATTGCAAAGGGGCCCTACATGAACACAAAAATGGTTTAAGATCCTCTAATCTTAAATGAAAGGAAATGAAATGAAAGAAAAATCTTAAATGATGGAAAGGGGTATAATGTATATACAAATAGGTATGAAACAGGTCAGAACATAAAGGCGTTGTGGCACATTTGATGGAAAGCCTGCCTTGGAGGCACAGGTGGGTTCAGGGCTGGCCTTTTGATATACACAGGCTATGTGACCCTAGGTAATTTTTTTTTTAGTGTCCAAGGTAACTCTGTAGACTTAAAATTGCTAGAGGCCAGGTGTGGTGGCACACTTCTGTAATTCCTGCTAGTGGTGGGGCTAGGGCTAATGGATTATAGGAGTTCAGAGCTGCGATAGGGCTAGAGCTAATCAGGCATCCACAGTAAGTGTGGCACTAACATGGTGAGCTCTCAGGAGCAGGTCACCAAGATGCCTAAGAAGAAGTGAACTAGTAGAGGTTGGAAAGGAAGTGGGTTGAAGCTTCCATCCACGCACATCAGTTACAGGTCGGCCTAAGAGTGGCTGCTGTACTTTCAGCCTGAGTAAGACAGAGTGAGAAACCTATTCTCGCTGATAGATGATAGACAGATAAACAAACAAAAACAAATGAATATGTAAATAAACAAATAAACAAAAATTGCAAGAAAAGTGTTGTCTTCTATTGGTAGAAGTTCCATACCAAGATTTCTTTACATTGATGGAATAACAGGTCTGGTATAAAAAAAAAAAGGCAGAAAGTGGTAATGGCAAGGGAAAGTACTCTTTTAGCTGGAGGGATCAGGGAAGTCTCCATGGAGAAAGTGGCGCATGAAACAAAAGAAGGATTTCTGTAGGTGAAAATTAAGGGATTGTGTTTGCAGATGCAATAGATGAAAAGCTAGTAATTCAGTTTTAGGCTGACCTCTGGCAATAAAAGAACTGACTGACTATAGATGCAAGAGAAAATTAGTCCTGGCAGTCAAATCAAGCTGTGGAGAAAAGTAAACCTAGGAGACCCAGCTGAAAGACATGGCCCACAAAGTGCTGATCCCAGGAGGAAGAAAAGGCATCAGGGCCCTGCAGTATTGGATGCACTGTTTATCTTGGCTATATATGTTCCTCTATCTTTGCCACACTACCAAAGCACTCAAAATGTGTACCTGCTCTTGATACTCTGTGTATTTGAAAGAGCATACCCTGGGTTTATTGTATAGCTAATGTTCTTACCATGTCATCTTTGTGAGTGTCTTTGCTTTAAGCTAATTGTGTCTACTGGTTACTTCCTAAAAGTAAGCACATTGGTGGGGGCTCATGAGCTATAATTTTAGACATGCAGATCCATAAAATAAAAAACCTGAAGTAGCAGCCACCTCCCAGCGAGCACAACATGAAAAATTATGAGCACTGAATTGAGAAGATATATCAGAGGGAAAGTTTAGAAATAATTAACAGTTCCTAAGAAAATATTTTGGCAACTACTGAGGAAGCAATAGAAAGAATAGTCTAGAATCAGGGAATGAGAAAAATATTGTATGAATCAAAGAGTCAAAAATTGGCTTTGAAAATACATTTGACAAATGGAGGAGCTGCAGGAAGGCAAGCAAAATAATAGACTGTTCATGGCATTACGAACTGATTCAACTATTCTAGAAAGCAATGTGAAAGCAATGCTTAAAAAGTCACATACACATATTATATATTGATATTTGTATATTATATATATATATTTTTTTCATATTTCCAATATCAACTTTAGTAAGGGTCAGGGGAAAGTGGTGGTGCTGCTGATAATGGAGGGACAAGCATCACATCTAGGGACTTAGTGGGCAATGGAGGAGAAGCAGCATTCAAACCAGGAGGATGGTGGGTAATAGAGAAAAGAATCAGAACTGTGTGGGGAGAGAATTGTGGGTAATGAGGGGAAAAAAATTTCAGTCGAGGGGCTCATGGGCAATGTTGGGGGTAGTATTGGAAACAAAAGGATTTTGAGTAAGGACAAAAAAGCATCAGGATGGGACTTGGGGGGACGGTGCAGTTGCAGGTAAGAGAGCAAAAGCATGGGAAAGGGGAGCATTGTGAATAACTGGGAGGCAGGGCAGGAAAAGGATCTGGGAGGGTGTGGGGTGGGCGGCTGCTCCAGAAGGTGATAAGCAGGCAGAAAGGGTCTGGAGAAGAGGCAAGTGCTGAGTTCCAGCTCACTGGTCTGCAGTCTTTGTGAGGAGGACTCGTGGAGCTCAGTCATCTTGGGGGGCCCTGCGCTCCACTGCTGACAGAGCCAGCACGGCTTGGGCAGTGTAGTAGGTGAACATGATGATCATCTGGCTTGCAGGCAGGGGCCAGAAGAAGGTGGTCCAGGCCTTGAGGCCGTGTGAGATGCTGAAGAACAGGCCACTAAGTGCCGCAGATCTCCCTCGGACCAGCGCCCGCCACAGCATCAGACACAGGACAGCCGCATAGACAACCACGGGGAGACTCAACTGGGAAGGGAGGTGAGGCTGCAGGGGTCCAAAGTAGAGGAGAAAGATGACCATCACAGACTTTAGGAAGGCCTGGCGCGTCGGGAGCCAGCCCAGGGCCTTGATGTAGAAGAGATGAGCCAAGGCAGAGGCTACCATACCAACGAGGAAATGGTCAGGCCAGGTGACGAAAATGTCCCCCAAGATGGAGCAGAGGAGACCTAGCCAGATGAATCGGCCATAGGTCCCTGATGGGGCGTTGCTGTGGACAAAGAGAGCCAGAAAGTGGATGGGGAGGCATTTGGCCAGGGCGCTGGTCCAGCTGGGTTCCTGTGAGGGCACCCAGAGGAAGAAGTAAAGGGCGCAGGAGACAAAGAAAGGCACCAGCCTCTGGACCAGCAGGGGATCTAGGGTGGACCTCCTCTCAGGTTCCCTTCCATCAGCCTCCATGTTTGTCCAGATACCCCAAGAATTCTGTGACCTCAGAATTACAGATAGGTTCTAATCATCATGACTACAAGCTTGAACCATTGGAACCATATGTATATTGAAATGTGTGTGTGTGGGGGGGTGTGTATGTATACCTTTTGACCCAAAGATCTCATTGCTAGGCATATATCCCCAGGAGGTCAGAAATGGGGGGAGAGGGGAATTTCTCATGTAACAAAAACATTCATAGCAGTACTTTTTATGTTAGCAGAAAACAAAAAGCAGGTAAAAACTCATCTGTTTGGGCCTGGCTAAACAAATTGTAATGCACAATTGTAATAGGATATTATAGCAATGTAAGAAATGACAAATATGAAGAATTCAAAGAATTGGAAGAAATATATGAACTGATGCATAATAGAGTAAGTAGGCCCAGAATATAGTATATACAACAGTATAACTGGAAAGAAAAAATAAAGAAATTGAATACAGTGCAATTACAATAACCAAGGATAAGAGTTGAGGAAATGCCCTCACACACTATTTCTGCACAGAGATGAAAGATGATGGTTGTGGAAAATTGTAAAGACTCAAAAACAACTGACATGTTGATTAGTCATGCATAATTTGTATCTTTTGTACTCTTTAATTCTTTGTTGCATGGGATGATTTTCTGGGTAGGAAAAAGAGAAGGGATTTATTTAAAATTGAAGGTGATATAAAAACAAAAGATAGCAATTTTGAAAGATCAAAAATACATCTGATTTATGAATATGGCCATCCTTTTAATCATGCTTCCTGGCAACTTTTGCTTCAGTGGCCATCCAATACTAAAGACCCTGCTTATTGATTACATCAATGCTTCATTCAATCTCCTCAGTTAGGGGATCTATTAGCATATTTTCCTTATTAGCCATTAAGTAATTTATTGATACCTGGGCAACTTGGCTTTTAAAGGGATGGTAACAGCATGACTGTTAAGAATCAATCAGAGAGATAAAGGCCTCATTTCTGAAATATATAGAAAACTGAGTCAAATTTATACAAATACAAGTTATTCCCCAATTGATAAATGGTCAAAGGATATAAACAGGCAATTTTCAGATGAAGAAATTAAAGCTATCTATAGTCATATGAAAAAATGCTGCAAATCACTATTGATTAGAGAAATGCAAGTTAAAACATCATCAGGTAATACTCTTCTGTATTTCCCTTAAGCTCTTCCATGGTGAGAAACTAGGATAGGTTTGTAATTTAATTAATTTCAATTTTTTTTTCCATCAATGCTTGTGTATCTTTAGGGTTTCTGTTATGTCCTCAATTCCAGACAATTTGTGATAGATTTGAATGTTTGTACTAAGTTAGAGTTTCCCTCTAAGTACACGATGTTATTGCTAGAGCAAAATCACCTGTTTTTGTTTGTTTTGTTTTGTTTTAGTAAAGATTCTGGTAGCACTGCTTTGAACAGGTTGGATGGAGAAACATGAATGCCGCCTTTAACATTTTAACTGCCAATGGTAACTATGAAATGAATAAGGACATATGCGGTGATGTGTCTGTGTACACGTATATGTACCTGTGTTTGTTTACATATTTGTAAAATAAGCTAATAACACTTGTAGTCCCTGACTCATAGTGTTGTTGTAGGGACCAAATCACATATTATAAATTGCTCTATAAATCTTACCAAATTATGTAAATGTGAACTATGATAGAACTTGACTATAAGTTTCATTAGGGTGAGAACCATGTTTCAATTAACTGTATATTGTCCCCAGCATTTTGACCCATTAAGTACTTAAATGTTTAAAGAATTAAACTACTCTTGGGCAGCTAGGTGGTGCAGTGGATAGAGCACCGGCTGTGAAGTCAGGAGGACCTGAATTCAAATCCAGCCTTTGACCAAACACTTGACACTTACTAGCTGTGTGACCCTGGGCAAGTCATTTAACCCCAATTGCCAAAAAAGAAAAAAAAAGGTCAGAGTCAAAGAATTAAGCTACTCAATAAGGAATGTCCATATTTAGTAGTTTTTGGTAGCTTCAAATCAGGATTCTTTCTATGTCCCCTTTGGTCTCATCTGTCCCTGCTCTGCTCTTCCATTTTGAATCAGTTAAATCAGTCAATAAGCACCACAAAATTCAACATTCTGCTAAATGATGTGGATACAAAGAAAGGCATACACAAAAAATCCCTGCTCTCAAGGAACATGCATTCGAAGGCAACAGATAACATGCAAATATTTAGGTATGTTTAAAATGTATACCAAGCACTTTAAATTAAACAGAAAGAGAAATGCATTGGTACTTGGGATGACCAAGAAAGGCCTTCTGCAGAAGATGGCATTTGAGTTAAGTCTGAAGGAATCTTGGGAAATTGAAAGACAGAGGTAAGAGGGTAGAGTATTTGGGGATGGTCAGCTAGGCAAGCCATAGGCAGAGATGGGGAAAGAAATGTTGTATTTAAGGAACTGGAAGCAGGCCATTGTATCTGGGTCCTAGAGTGGATCAGAGTAAGGTACAGCAAGACCGGGAAGGAGAAATGGGTCAAGGTTGTGAAGGACTCTAAATGCCGAACAGAGCAAGTTGCATTTGATTCTGGGAGTAGTAAGGAGCCATTAGCACTCCTTGAGAAGGAGAATGACATAGATCTATGCTTTTAAAAAAATTGATTGGAAGCTGAATGAAGGATAAATTAGAGAAGATGCTCTATGAGCGTAGATAAGAGAATATATGTGAGAGATAATGTGAAAGTAGAAATGACAAGGTATAGGGTAAATGAGAGGGAAGAGTTGAGGATGGCACAGAGACTGTGGGTCTAGATGCCTCAAACAAAACTGGTGATAGCCTCAATGGTGATACTGAAATTCACAAAGGGGTGGCATTTGGAAGGAAATATATTTAATATTGTTTTGGACTTAGTGATTTAGAAGTGCCTGTGGGATATACAGTTTGAGATGTCTAAGAGGCAGTTGGATATATGTGGGAATCATTTGCATAGAGATGATAATTGAACCTCTAGAAGTTGATGAGGTCACCAGGTAAGCTTGTTGTTTATCCAGTGACATTAATAGGAGACAATGGGTGATATCTTGACTTGCACATAAATTGGGTTTAGGTGAGGCAGAATTATGCAAAATCTTCAGACTCTTCCAGAGTCATTGAAACCCAGTTGCAAGACAAACGTCAAGATGATTGGCGATGGCCAGGATGCAGTAGATGGCCTTGGTGTCTTTGATGTTTGACCAAACTCTAAGCACTCCATAGCACCTGCTTCAGTTGCCTTTATGATTGTTGAACAAACTGTTCTCATCCATCCATTTCACTGAAGGAAGTCTTCACATGCTTGGGGTAGACATCCCCCTAAACTCTCAACCTCGTTTAGCCCATCTGCTGAGATGGTTTTACTGAGATGTGGCCATTGCACATGCTACAGCTTCTTGGAGCCATAGGTCAGAGTTGGGTGACAGGTGGATACCAGAGGTGAATGAGCACCCTGAAAGGGCACAGCAAGTCCTCACATCCGAGGTGCTAATTCTCCCTAAACACCCCATGCACCACACCAGGTATGAAGTCAAAAGAAAATATGTGGTCAAAACAGAAAGGAACCAAGGACAGAATTGTGGGGAACATCCATAGTTAGGAAGCATGAAAGGGAAGAATAAATAATCAATGGTAACTAATGGTCAGATCGTGTGAGAATTTTTCAAGGATGGAGAAGAAATAGGCATGTTTGTAGGAAGCAGAGAAGTAGCCTGTAGATCTGGAAAGAATGAAGATAAGAAAGAGGGTGAGGATGATAGTGCAAACAATCTTATGGAGAAGCCAGGAAGGGGAAAGATCATGGGCACAAGTAGAAAGCTTTGCCTAGGCAAGGGGAAAAGGCTTTAAAAAGAGACAGGTTTTAGGAGAGAGAAGGTTTGGATTCATTGCTATGGAGAGTAAGACAGTAAAATGATTAGGGAAACTGATTAGCAAGCTGAAATGATTGTGCTGTGGCCTAGTGAGGGCCCAGTTGAGATTATATAATAAATTTGGGGTAGATCTAATCAGATTAGTTTCTTTATCTTCTCCAGCTCCATTTAGCAGTACATGAGTAGGAGTGAAGGAAGTAGATGGTGGGAGCAATCCAAAGTTAGGACTTGACAAGACATAATCAAAGCATAGAACATGGGGGCAATGGGTTTAAGTATAATGGTTATAATAGAGTTTAACTGATTCACCAAGCAGTTGAGATAGGGTAGGGGAGAAAATATGTGCAGGGGTGATAGCTTGGGGAACAACTGGGAGTTGGAGGGAATGGAGGTCAGGACAAGGATGAAGAACAGAGGTATGGGTTGTAAGGGATAGGGAAATATGGAATGATGAAAGATTATGATTAGATAAAGGAATTTTGAAGTTCGTTAATATGGAAGTGGAACCCTGTGGATTATTGACAAAGTCAAGAGTGTGACTGTCTGTGTATAGCTGAGGTGGAGGAATAGGTAGTAGAATTGAGGAACTGAGAGGTCAGGGTATCTGACAGGTATTGGGAAGACAGAAATACTGTAGTTAGGCACAGAACTCATTGATGAAAAGAGAATGTCCTAGGGGGTCTACAAATATCAATCATCAGGATTTGGATTGGGTGATAAATTTGGATAGTGTGAATCTCAAAGAAGGAGTGATACTTAGTGAAATGGTGTAGGATAGCCTGGCCTGGAAGTGGCAATGAGGAGCAAGGAGCATTCCAATTCCTCCACCATGACCGAGGAATTTGGGGGGAGGCTATGAGAGACAGCATATAGCTAACACTGGAAAGGGTGGGAGGGAGCCATGTCTCAATGAGAGTTAGAAGATGGAAAGAGTGAGAAAGGTATATGTATAATCTGATTTGGGCAGAACTAATTGAACCTTGTCAAGAACCACCCATCATCCCATACTACACTCAATCCATCTAGATAAATTCTAGGAAAGTTTCCAGGTTCTTACTTCCTTTAAAATACCATGGGAATGTTGATTGTCTCAGAACTATCCTTTGCC